ACCGCGTTTTGAAAATAAATTATTTTTAGAGCATAAATTATTTTATTTTGAAAATAAGCTCTTTATATATATATATATATATATATATATATATATATATATATATATATATATATATATATATATATATATATATATATATATATATATATATATATATCTGTGTTTGAAACAATCAAGTGATGTTACTAAGTTGTGTTATTACACTTTGGAACTTAGACTAAGAACAAGTCTTACTACAATTACTATCAAAATACTAGAATTAGTTAAGCAACATATCTTCTTTTTTTTTTTTAATTTATCTTGGACCCATCAAATAGGTTCTATTTTTTATAGTTTAATTGAAATTTAACTTTACATCTATCTAATTTTTATTATACTCTACTTTTTGTTTTTCATTACTTTCAGATAAAATTACTGATAAGTTTAGGATTATTAAAATAACTTTTTTATTATTAGTTTTTATGACTACTATTTATTAGGCTATTTATTAGATATGCTATATATATTAGTCACTGCATTTTTTTACAAATCAAATTTTATTAAATTTTTATAACTGATTATAGTTATCCTAAAGTTAAATGATTTTATATTTTTTTAAAAGTTCAAACATAATTGTTTTCTCTTTTTTTTAATTTGTCATTGCTTTATTAGTTTGATTACTGTTGAAACATGGTTTTAATTTAGTAAATTTATGATATGAAATTCACTGTGTTAATCATTAGTCATCAGTTATGATAAAACACGAATTCTAAACTATTAAGGTATGAATAATTTTGTTTAGTGGTAACATTAAAAAGCCTTTTTTTAATGGTTAATAGTGCTATAGCTATTTTGTGCTTATATATTTTCTTTACCCTTGTCATTAAAATAAGTTATTGATCATAATTTATTGTATGCTTTTAACTTTTTTTAAACACAGTACCTTTGAAACTGAGTCTGCCTCCTCTTTTTCATTTTAATGGTTTATTAATAAAGATGAGCATTATTGGAACACTCTGTTATTACTAAGCTCTTATGTATTTTTGGTACCATAATTGATAATGACCATGTTTAAGAAATGTTTTACGAGTCACTTACCTCATGATTTATAAATATCAGTTGTTCTTACAGATTTTTCAAAAAGAATTTATATTTTTTGAAAATGCCAATAGCTAATAATTGCTGAAAGATATGTCACATTTGATTATAATGATCAAATTTTAATCTACTCAATTGGTTGCTATTGTGTAGAACTAGGACATTAAACTAGCTAAAATATGACTTTTAGTGTGTGTGCTACCAGGCTGACTATTTTTATAAATTTTTATTCCTTATTCAAAAACAATAACAAATATGTAAAATAATGATTTTGTAATTTAAAATTATCTTTTTTTTTATTTAGGTATTGTCAGTTGTACTTGGCTTTCCTTCTCTGGTGATTAATGTTATAAAAAATAACTTGAGTTATGTGGTCTTTTATGTGGTCATTAACTAAATTCCAAGACAAACAAGAGTGAGCAGAACTAAAAAGATTATATTGTATATAGGCTGTTATAGCTCCAGTTTATACGGAGGAGAGCGCAGCGCAAATGTAGTTACAAATTTTACAGTGTTCTTCTGCCGAAAAACCAGCGCAGCAGAAGCTTTATTTAAAAAAAACTTTGCATTTTATTATATTTTTCAGATTATACATTCACAAATAAAATTGTTATTAGTGATTTTGTTTATTATTAACCCATATTACAGGTTATTAACGAATTTTATGAAAATAATATAAATATTAATAAAAAACCACTCTTAACAACTTTTTGTCTTTGAAAATGACAAAATTAAGACTACTTTATGTAAAAATAATAAAATTAATTTAGGAAACTAATAAAATTTTATAATTTTAAACAAAAAAACCACAAAAATGCGAACTTATACACTGGAATGTTTTTTATTTTTTTAATAAAAATAAAAACATTCTGAATGTTTTTACTTTAGTTTTTTTACTGTTACATACATCAACTGATAAATAAGTAGAACATGTAAAGAGAATCTCAAGAATCTGAGCGAGAGGTTCCCAGTTCGATCCCCACCACGACCCTGGTAGTAACTCGTTTCTCTGTGCAGTGGCCTTGTTCGTCAAGGTTTGTGTTTCAGAGTTATAGAATTGAAAGAGAGTTATAACCACAATTATGTAGCCTCATCATCTACAGTAGCCTCCTTGTCAGTAGCGGCCTTCTCATCCTTGGGGAGGCAAATTTAAATATATATATATATATATATATATATATATATATATATATATATATATATATATATATATATATATATATATATATCCTGTTTTTTTTTACTTTGTCCCCACTTTTTTCACACTACCTTCATCATACCTAAAAATATTTTTTTTAATTTTTATTTTATATCTATTTTGTTTATACATATTTAAATGTATTATTTTATTACATAAACATTTATTTTTGTTATTTTTATTTCTATTTCTATTTATTTTTGTTATATTTATATTTATTTTTTTTATTTTTATGGTATTACTGTGGTTTTTGTGATGAAAGTAAAAATGAAATATAATATATAAATATTATATTTCATTTTTATTTTCATCTAATCAAAAAAACCACAGTAATACCATATTTAAACCTTGTCATATATATATATATATATATATATAAATATATATATATATATATATATATATATATATATATATATATATATATATATATATATATATATATATATATATATATATATATATATATATATATATATATATATATACACAGGGGCTATTATAGACTATTTTCAACTGCGTCAACTGTATTTGGGCCAAAAATTAAGGTTTGGCAACTTTTTTTTTCAGAAGACTTAAAAGATTGCAAATTATATGAATTAGGAAAGCAAGATAAAAAAAGTGAATTCCTAAAGCAAGATAAAGGAAGCAAATTCCAAAGAACTGATGTTTGAGAAAAAAAAATAGATGAATAAGAGTTTTTAGAGCACTTTGGAACAGATAAAGAAAAAGGATGAGACAATTGAATGACGAGTAACACAAGAATGAATTTAGTACATGGCACAAGCTCTTTAGAGCAGTGCCCATTATAGTATTTGTAGAAAAGAGAAAGAGAAGCAACGTTACAATGATGTGATAATGGTTGGAAGTTGGTTGCAAGAGCAGGATTAACTATGCTTACAATGCATTTTTGTACCTTGTCTAAAAGAGAAAGGGCATCATTAGAAGATCCACCCCAGATATATCAACAGTATTCCATACAAGAACGGATTTGAGATTTATAGAGATAAAAAATAAAAAGATGCAACCTTAGCAGGTGCTAATTTTGCCACGGATTTGAAATACGGTTTGCAAGAAAGATTGGAAGTAAGAGTTAATCCTAGAAGATGAAGGATAGACAACTCATCGAGCACATTACCGTTCATAAATATAGGAAGATCTAAATTATTGCGATAGAAACATAATACTGTTCATAAATATAAGAAGATCTAAATTATTTGGCATGTGTAAAAAAAACAAATTTAGGAAGAGATGGGTTTCGAACCACGGGCATTCTATGTATGAAGCCTTATCCTAATAAACTAATTGTGTGTCTACTTATGAACAAATAAATATAAATATACAATATAAAAAGTTATACATAAAAAAACACATGCATTACATAGACGTTTTCATATAGAGATAATATATACTAGTTACATTTAAAATATACAAATATATTTTACAAACAGATAGCAATTTTTTTTTTTCTAATTTTGTTGCTGAAAACAACAACCACTCCAAATATATATATATATATATATATATATATATATATATATATATATATATATATATATATATATATATATATATATATATATATATATATATATATATATATATATATATATATATATATATATATATATATATATATATATATATATATATATATATATATATATATATATATATATATATATATATATATATATATATATAAAGAATACAGTACACAAATTATTTAAATTAATTTATTTTTATTTTTTTCTATTTAAGTTTATTTTAATTTCATATTTTATTAACTTTTTTTGTTTTTGAAACTTTGTTTCTTTCTGCAATGATTGACATACTAAAACTTGCAAACACCTATGACCAAGTTGTCTAAAATAAAATACTAACGTGTGGTCATGCAAGACAAAAAGCATGGGTTTCCTGGGAAGGCTTACTATTAATAGCTGGTTTATTTACTTTATGTTTCTTTAGAGATTTCCAGAAAAAGACAACTGGCTGTCCATTTTGATTTAATACTGCAATATTGCAGCTTAAGTAACATTTTTTAACACATTATTATTTAGTGGTACTGGTAATTAAGAAGGGGTTTTAATATTTCTGGGTCCAACTTTATGCTGTTATAAGATAAAACATAGTAGGTTTATTGGATTAACTGAAAATACACTGAATAAGTCAGAGTAAATTTACTAGCATCAAGATCAGAAATAATTTAATCATGTAATTTTTCATCATTTTTCATAAACAATTGGCAGAAAAAACTTTCAAATAAAAAAAATATTTGATTGAAAAGATTTGATTAATTACTATATAATTAATTACTATATAATTAATTACTATTTGACTATATATTAATTACTATTTGACTATTGATTAATTACTATTTGACTATATATTAATTACTATTTGACTATTGATTAATTACTATTTGACTATATGATTAATTACTGTTTGACTATATGATTAATTATTATTTGACATAATTAATTACTATAATTAGTGAAAAAAATAATATAGGTTAACTTGAATAAAGTTAAGCAATCAAGTTGAAATTTAGAAAATCACATTTAATAAAATGGAATAGCATTTGATAAAATAGGTTTTTTTATTTGGCAACAATTTACATTCAATAGACATTTTTTTTAAAACTGTTTTTGATATATTAAGATTCTTCTAATTAAAATATATTTATAAAAAAATAATGAAGCAATAGAACAAATATATATACCGACTAGTTTCAATTTTTATAAGCAAATTAGATGCAGTATTAGAGATAAGTTCAAGCAATATTTTTGGATTATTTTCATATGATGGGGAATTTAGTGATCCACCAGCTGACTGTTTAGTCCAGGACATTGTTATCTAAAAAAGCATCAACACAAATTTACATTATATGGAAAAAAATCTTGAAAAAATGTAAGAAGTTTCAAACAATTGTCTGAGTATTCAAAGTTTTTATTTTTTATAATTCAATAAATGTTTTTGCTCCTACACAGCTTGAAAAATTTGATTTTTAACAAGTGTATATATCTATAAAATATTTCTGTCTAATGCTGATTTAGTATCTATCCTAAAAATATCATTTAGTATCTATCCTAAAATATCTTAAAATAATTGTTGCTTCATTCTTCTTTTTTAATAAAACAAAAATTGAGGTAAAATTTAATTTTAAACTTTAGACTAATTCCTTAATTTAGCAAAACAATAATAATGAAATTCAACCAGTTCTAAAATGAAAAAAAGTTAACAATTGTTTAAGCTTACAAATATATAGAGATACAGATAGGTACAGAGAGCTTCGAATTAGGAATACTCAGGTAACAATCCAGCAATTAGGATTACCCAGGTAACAATCCAGCATTTATCAACATGTGCAAAGCTTAACTTTCATAAAAAAATGTTTTGATTGTTATAAACTGTTGTATTCCAAAACAAAAAGTATTACCTACCATGACATGGCTTTAAATGCAACAGGAATAATAATAAAAAGTATTACTTAACATGAGATGGTTTTAAATGTGACAGAAGTAACAACAAAAAGTGTTACATGGCATATTTATAGATTAAATGTAAAAGAATTATTAACAAAATCTTTTTTTTCAATATTATTCTAATTGAATAGGTAAAAAAAAGAACTATGCTTCTGAAGTGGTTTGGATGAGTTTTATAATCCCATTTTGTATTTTGAATGACATTATGGAAGATTCAAAGCGATTTTTTACAGCAAGATTGTCTTTTGAATTGCCTTCTTAACATATTGTCTTCAGAATTGTCTTCTTACATATTTTGTAGATCAGGACTTATTTTCATAAAAAGTTCTTGTCATATTTTAATTGTCCTCAGAATTGTCTTCTTACATATTTTGTAAATCAGGACATTTTTTCATGAAAACCTCTTGACATATTTTGATTGTCTTCAGAATTGTCTTCTTACTTTTGTAGATCAGGACTTTTTTTCATGAAAAAAAGAGAAAGGCTATTTATTAAATTTCCATTTTAGTGGCGAACTTTTATTAATATCAAAACTAAATAAAGTTAAATTAGAAAAATTTAAACTTTATACAATCTAAAAAATGAAAGTCTTATTAGCTTATTTTATTTTTCAGTATTCAACACTTTTAAAATCATGCTCAGAATTATTGGCACTTCCACTTTCTTTAACCTTTTAAGCTTCCATAGAATTTGGTTCAATACTTCAGAAAAATGTTAGCAACTAAATTGAATTTTTCTCTATGAACACTTGCATATAAAGATTGCCTACATAAACTTAAATTGAAAATATTTGAAAAAAAGTGTATCAATTTAAGTAAAATAGATAAATTTAAATTGAACACTTGACGAAGACAAAACACAACACTTTCAAAATAATTTATTAAAATTTTAAGTTGAAATAATCAGCCATTATACTCAAAAATCTTTTTTTTAGCTATTTTTTGAGTATGCAGTTTCACACTGACTGATAGCCTGCTACATTATTTAAACAGTTTCACACTGACTGATAGCCTGCTACAACATTTGTAGCATACTACAACATTGATAGCCTACTACAACATTTAAACAGTTTCACACTGACTGATAGCCTGCTACATCATTTAAACAGTTTCACACTGACTGATAGCCTGCTACAACATTTGTAGCATACTACAACATTGATAGCCTACTACAACATTTAAACAGTTTCACACTGACTGATAGCCTGCTACATCATTTAAACAGTTTCACACTGACTGATAGCCTGCTACAACATTTGTAGCATACTACAACATTGGTAGTCTACTACAACATTTAAACAGTTTCACACTGACTGATAGCCTGCTACACCATTTAAACAGTTTCACACTGACTGATAGTCTGCTACAACATTTGTAGCATACTACAACATTGATAGCCTACTACAACATTTAAACAGTTTCACACTGACTGATAGCCTGCAACAACATTTAAACAGTTTCACACTGACTGATAGCCTGCTACAACATTAAAACAGTTTCACACTGACTGATAGCCTGCTACAACATTTAAACAGTTTCACACTGACTGATAGCCTGCTACAACATTGATAGCATACTACAACATTGATAGCCTACTACAACATTTAAACAGTTTCACACTGACTGATAGCCTGCTACAACATTTAAACAAATTACTAAACTCCTGTTAATGTATAAAGATGAAAAATTTCCTGTAAATGTGTAAAAATAAACAATATATAAATTTTAAATAATATTTTTACAAAAACTTTATAAAAAGCAAACTTTTTTTTTGGATGAGTATATCTCTGGGACAGGACCAATGGTAAACTTCATATTTGAAAAAACCTATGTAAAGAAAAAAATACTTTGTAACATAAAAAAAACAAAAACAAATAAAAGCATTTAATTCAAAAATATCATAACATCAAAGCATTGCAATAGCATAAATAAAAAATAATTATTATTATAATTCATAATCTTATTCATTACATTTGTAAAATATTATTAAAAAAACTGTTTATTCTTGGTAAGCTTTTTTTAAAATTTCATGATTTCAAATAATTTACACAGAAGTGTAAAACTTTAAAAAAATATCCAAAATATTAAATATAAATGTTAAATGCTTGTTTAATATCAACTATACCACCAATATTCTGTCAAATAATATCAACTATACCACCAATATTCTGTCAAATAATATCAACTATACTACTAATATTCTGTCAAATAATATCAACTATACCACCAATATTCTGTAAAATATCAACTATAGCATTAATAATCAATTGGTCTATTTTGGTAAACAAGCTACCAATGTTTATATTTTTGCAATGATTGTACAATAAAATAAAAAACCTTTTTCTAAAAGCATTTAAACACTAATTTTTAGTGATGCTATAGACATATACGACAGTAATGCTATCCACATGTACAACAGTGATGCTATTGACATGTATGACAGTGATGCTATTGACATGCACAACAGTGATGCTAGTTACATGCACAAACTATGTTTTGTGTGACTTGTTTTTCAATAAAATGTGAATAATTAAGTTAACATTCTATAAAAGTATTCTAAAAAAAATTAAAAAAAGCTAAAACTGCTCTTAAATATAGATATAGAAACCACAAGCATAGCATCTAGAATAACCAACAATTTCCATAACAAGTGTTTGCATTACTACCCTGTGAATGTATATACATCATTATTTTCATAATTTATGTTCTATATTACTACTAAAAATATTTCCAAAACACATAAAATTTTAGTCAATATTTTATAAACTCTCTCTGAATGATTAAATATAAATTTACTTTTAATTCTACATAATTAACCCCACAAAACAATTAATACTAAACAAACCTTTAGTGAGTAATAAATTGTGTTTAGTTTTTCATACTGTGATACAACAATAGTAAACTGTGATCTACCACTTCCAACTTTTAGTTTAGCAAGGTAATGTGGTGAGTTTATTTTTGTTCCCTCCAGATATTTACCATCTAAACCATTAAAAAATAATATATTTTAAATATTTATCCCCAAAAAAAAATTTTTTTAGAGTTTCTTTAAACTTTTAAAACATATTGCCAATAAAAAAATCTATAAAATTATATAGAATTTCTATTAAATGTTTAATAATTTCAATAGAAATCACTATAGAATTTTTTTTCCTGGGTACAAAACCAATGACATAATATAATCAGATTACATATTAAATAGTTTTGAACAAAAGTAATTTTGAAGTTGTTATAACCATAAAATTATACTTAGAATAAATGCAAACCTTGATGTAGACAAATATAAAGATTTTTTAATAATTTTTAAATAAAATATTTCCAAAAAAATAAAAAACAATTTTCTTTATGTTTGTAAAATATTAGTAAAGTTTTAAAGCTTTTAAATTACTATATAAAATTATGTATAATTTAGCATAATAATGCAATTATAATAATTTATAAAATAATTAAAAAAAAAATTCTAAATAATTTATTTAACAAAAATAAATTTTAAAAGTATCTTTAAAAAAAAAAAAAAAAAAAAAAAAAAAAGGAATTTTAAATATATAAAATAATATACACAGAGTAAAAATCATTTTCATCAATGACACTAGTATCATCACTAGTAGTATAATCATCGATGATAAAAGTAAGATCTTGTCAAATTATTAAAATCAAGTATAAAATATTTTACCATTTTAAAATGAAATTTTAATCCCATCGTTCACAAATTACATAACTTTTTAGTTATTAAATAGCGCATAACATTTTCTAATGTAATTAATTTTGTTAAGCAGAAATTTTGGTTTTAATTTAGGTAAAATGTTTGCTGAAATGTTGGTTTTGGATTTGGTATAGAATATGTCTGAAATTTTGGGTTATTTCAGTTTCAGTGTATTTCCTATTTTGGTTGATCACTTGTAATAAGGTTAAAAACAAAATTGTTTTTGTCGATTGGAAGTGCTGCAGGTAATTTTTCAAATATTGAGAATTGGGTCAACTTAATGTTATTTTTACGGATTAAAAAACAAAATATTTTTGTAATTAAACTCTTGTTTAATCTTAAGAAAAAAAAACACAGTATCCTAAAGTTAATAATAGTATCCTAAAATTAAGCCTTATCTTACATTAATTATCCAACTCTTGGTTTCAACTTTAACAGTTCAGATAGCGACATATCTTTTCTTATTAGTTTTCTATGTAACAAGACTACCAAAAGTATGTTCTGTCTTTGACCCTTATAATTCTTTTTGCGCAGTCATTGGTCACACTAAACTTGCTAACTAGCTGAATAAAATGCTTGCATGAATTTAAAGCTAAGAAATCGCTTGAAGAACACCATTTTCAAACAGAATCGATATGACCTGTGAGTATAAAAAAAAGCCAACTTACTTTTGTTGAAAACAATAACAGCAGAAGGAGCTTCTACAGAAATCTCTGATAACTCAGGAATTGGAAATTCTAGGATGTTCTTAATAATTAAAAGCTTGATTCTGCTTTCAGATCAGGATCACCTATTGATAGAATGATAACCTTATGAGACAAACATCATGTGTGGTAACGCATGCTTTTCTGAAGTGAGTCTAACTTCATGATCTCAATTAAATTTAAATTTTAAGAGCATTTAAATCATTGAGAACTGCATGCTCTGCCTTGCTGAATTAAGAAACAAGCATGCTCTGCCTTGCTGAATTTAATAAACATGCATGCTCTGCCTTGCTGAATTTAAGAAAGACAGGCCCATAGTAAATAACAATAAATGTAAGTACAATAAATACATAGTAAACACAATAAATGCCACCCTAGAGACCATATCTTTCTTTTTAGGAATCAGATATTCAACCACTTTGGATGTCATATTGAGCATTAGATAGTATAAGGCATTGACTATAAACCTTGCATTGTGAAGGACTTTGCACAAGGCTGATAGATGTGAAAGTTCTTTAACTTATAAGATTTAAAGTTCATAAAGCGCTGTTCTAAAAATTTACATTTTGTCAGAGTAAGCAGTATTTTCCTATATTTGAATTACAGTGTATTTGAATTACATTTTAAATTTTGTATTTAAAAATACAAAATAAATCAATGATTGTAATGAAAATAAAATGCAAACTACAATATTCATGCTGTAATTAAACTGTTTAAAATTAATTATGAATGACCACAAATGTTTTAGAAACATATATATATATATATACATATATATATATATATATATATATATATATATATATATATATATATATATATATATATATATATATATATATATAAATTAGCTAATTTGTAATTGCTCTGTTCTTTTAAGAACATTGAGCACTCTTTTTGTAGAATACATTTTAAATTGTTTAAATATATATATATATATATATATATATATATATATATACACACACATCGTTATGGCTCCTAAAGCTATCTAAAAAATCCATGGCTTTTTCATGTAACCAAATTTGGCCCAATTTATAGCAAGCCTTTCCAGAAAGCGAGTGCTGTCACACACATTGTTTGTCTGCGTTTAAAGTAACTTCTTTAGAGACACTGACCATGGCAGTTCTTTTAACTTTTGGTTTCAATAATTTTCAACAAAAAGCTAAACTTAACTACTGAGAAAAACCAATACTAAGAAAAGGAAACAAATTTATAACAAAACATCAAATAAGAAAATAAATGGCTATTTATTTGTATAATATATTAACAGATTACTAAATTTTTTAATGAGAAAAGAAATTAAATAAAAGAATAGCATGGTTTCTTTCATAAATGTATTTAGCACATTTGATGCCTGTCTGAAATTGTTTACTTTATAACAGATAATAAACATAACATGTAAAGTTTAGTAAATTAATAATGCACTAGCCCACAAGCTTTTGGAACATCCTCAACAACAATAATTCATCAGTAAATAAATCAGGGTTAAATGCACTATTTGGAGAATCCTACGAAAGTTCAGACTATTTTAATGGGAGTAATAAAAACAACCAAATATTTTATATTTAAACATTAGTATTAATGACCTTTTATTTATTATATGAAAAACTCGTTAAAAAATAAAAAATTTTACAAAGAAAATTTTATAAAAATTAGCTTTCTTGCTTTCCTGTGCATTGATAAAAACAGTAAAATTTAGCAAAAACATTTGAAAATCATACTTTAAAATTGTCCGTATTTGTAGCACAAATACTTTAATATAAAATTTTATTTGTAAAACTTTTTATTTTTTAACGAGTTTTTCATATAAAAAATAAAAAGTCATTAATAAGTTAATAAGTCATTAGTTGTTAATAATACATTATTAAGTCATTAATATTCAAATGTAAAATATTTGGTTGTATACTTGACATTTTAAAAAATGTCAAGTACAGCAAAATACTTTATATCCTTAATATACTGACTGACAATAGTCATAAATAAACTGCATATCAAATGTTTTTGTTTTTGTTATACTGCTATCTACTTTTTTCCTTGACTTGTCTCTATTTTCGTAGTGGAAAATAATAAACTCCCTGAAAAAAACAACAAAAAAAACAAAAAACAAAAAGATATTTAGGTGTATTATTTTTTTGACAAAATTTTCCTTTTTTTATTTTTTTATTTTATTTTTAGTTTTTTCTGTTTAGATTTTCTAATTTGTATAGTAATCGTTTCCTTTCTTCAAGCTTTGCAGTTTTATTCTCTGTAGTTTCTTATAGCTTTATTTTGCAGCAAATCCTTAAAACGATTACTATATAAAATAGGGGTTAAGTTTTCGAAAAAAAATAACTTTAAATGTGTAAGAAAAGTATTTTGACTCCTGATCTTGAATTTAGTCTTACCCTGATTAAACATGGGTACAGATAGATATATACCAACTCTATTAAATTTTTGGCGTTATAACTTGTTGGTAGTCTTAGCAAAGTCAAGTAAAGTCTCCAAATCATCATATATGGTAAATCATTTTATGTTGGACTCATATCAAATTTGGAAAAAAATATTCTTGAAAGCGTTTTCCAGTTGGAATTGTCACCTGAATCAGGTTTTCAGTCAACCTTCTTATAAAAAGTTATGTTTACTTGCTATGTTTGAAAATTCTTAAGGAAAATAATCATTGCTCCTACTTTTAGTTTCAAATCATGTAGTGGTAATAACTTGTTGGTAGTCTTAGCAAAGTCATGTAGTGGTTATAACTTGTTGGTAGTCTTAGCAAAGTCAAGTAAAGTCTCCAAATCATCATATATGGTAAATCATTTTATGTTGGACTCATATCAAATTTGGAAACAAATATTCTTGAAAGCGTTTTCCAGTTGGAATTGTCACCTGAATCAGGTTTTCAGTCAACCTTCTTATAAAAAGTTATGTTTACTTGCTATGTTTGAAAATTCTTAAGGAAAATAATCATTGCTCCTACTTTTAGTTTCAAATCATGTAGTGGTAATCCAGGCAAACTTAGTGAATTGAAAAGCATATTAGGAAGGTTAGTATTTTATTATCCTCCAACTCGATTTTTTATTTTTTAATAATAAAATCAAAAGTTGTAAACATTTAAAGAACTTTAAAACTATTTTTAACTCAAGTACTATTACCTTATCATATTATTACTTATTACTAAGCTTCTATTAATAATTATTTTTACTTAATTATTTAAATTAAGAATTATGTTACTTTAATTAAACATAATATCAAATAATAATATATATAAACATTTCATATGTAATTTTAATTTTCATGATATAAAATCAAGAGGGCTATATATGTATATATATATATATATATATATATATATATATATATATATATATATATATATATATATATATATATATATATATATATATATATATATATATATATATATATATATATATATAAATATATATATATATATATCAGGCTTTCCCAGGAAAGGTGTGCGGTCGCACGCCTTGTTTGTCCACACATAGAATAAGTTTTTCAGAAAACGTGACCGCGGCAATATTTCGTGTGAAAGCGGAAATTATTCACAGAGAATAAAAAATAATATTAAAAAAAGGAAACGAAGTCTAAACAAAGTATAAAATTGAAATTGGATGTAAAAAAAATATTTTGATAATAAAAAAAAAAATTTAAAAAAAAAAAATACTTGTAACAAAAAAAAAAAAAAAGTCTTGAACATTTTTTCAAACTTTTTATACTGTTTTTGTTTGCTTTTTTAAGGGTTGCTATTTTCAGCTACGAAATTTGATACAAGTCAAGGGAAAGATGACAATAAGTCGTAAAGTTTTCACGAAAATAAAAAGACTTGATACGTAATTTATTCATGAACTTTATCAGACAATGTATTAAAAAACTGATTCATTATTTACGCTAGACAAATTTGGTTAAACTTTTTCATTTACTTTAGTTTTTACGAAAGTTTATGTAAAGGCGTTGACTTTATTCCCCAATACTTTGACAAGAAAATAAGTTGCTGTTTTAATTATTAAATATATTATTTCAGATTTTAAACATAACAAAATTTTAATGTGAAAAAAGTTCTTTCTCGAATTATTCTAAACTGATTATACTGAGTCAATGCTCGCCTTTTATTACGTTGAAATTATTCAATTGCATAATTTTGTAATTACGAAAGAAGTTAAAAAAATAATTGCATTGCTTCTGTTGTCATTGTTACAAAAACAGTTCCTTCAGGACATTATTATATATTAACACTTGTTCACAATGTCAATTAATGATTTCAAAATAAACAACTCAATCGTTTGAGAATAAAATTTTCTTTCGTTTCAAAAAAACAACAACATATTTTACTAATAAATAGCAATCGTTTTCGTGTTTTCTTGCGTATCAATACATTCAAACGTTTAAATCAATACACTTAAACATTTAAATGTATTTACGAAGCATTTAAAAATTGTTTATAGTTCTATTGTGAATTTTAAATTACTGACTGATAAATGTCATAAACAAATTTACATTAAAAGGTCCTTTTATTTTCTTTTAACATTAATCTTTTTCTCTTTGATTTGATTTTTCTTATTGATTTGATTTTTCATAGCTAAAATAACTACCACCCTAAAAAAATAAATAAATAAAATGTAGGTAAATTTTTTTTTAATAATATACATTAATTTTTTAATTTTAAAGCACAAACAGATTTCTGTTATTTACTTTAAGATTGCTTGCATTTTTGCGGTATTTTTGTTTAGCTTTGTTACGGCGCGAATTCTTGAAACGCATAATAATAAAACGTGGTCAGTTAGTCAGAAAAATTTATTCTATGCGTGGACAAACAAGGCGTGCGACCGCACGCCTTTCCTGGGAAAGCCTGATATATATATATATATATATATATATATATATATATATATATATATATATATATATATATATATATATATATATATATAAAATATATATATATAAAATATATATATATATATATTTATATATACAGTCGCGATCAAAAGTTTGGAACATTTTAAAAATTTGCAGAAAATTTGAAATACTTGTTAAAAACCTTTTTTTTGAATTGAAAATTTTGAGTATTAGTATTATATACATGCGTAATTTATGTTATAAGCCACTAAATTTGTTTTAGTCATAGTTTGTTGTTATTTTAGAAAAAAATTAAAATAATAATTATGGGAAAAACTAATGAATTAACAACCGAAAAACGTGCTCAGATTGTTATTCTACGTGAACAAGGATTGACACTGACTTCTATTGCTTCACGTTTTAATGTAACCCATAGCTGTATCATAAAAACATTGAAGCGATATCATGACACTGGTAATTTTAAAAGTAAAGCTAGAGCTGGACGACCAAAGGTGAATACTCAAAGGGCAGATAATCGCATCCATCGTTATGCAAAAGCATATCCGTTTGCCAGTGCTTCTGAAATTTCATCTGAGGTATTCCCCACTGGTGTTGCACCAAGTGTTGTGACCATTAGAAGACGTTTGTGCAAACAATTTCATTTAAAGAGCCATGTTCCAGCAAAAAAACCTTGCCTTTCTCCAAAAAATATTAGAGATCTTATTGCCTTCTGTCAGAAATACAAGGACTGGTCAGCGGAAGATTGGGAGAATGTAATATTTAGCGACGAATCATTAATTGAACAATTTGGTTGTCGCTCTACAAGCGTTAGACGCCCGCCTTGCCAATGATACAACCCCAAATATTTGCTTTCAACTGTAAAACATTGCCCTAAAATCATGATATGGGGTGCCATTACAGCCAATCAAAGTGGTGGTTTATGGTTTATGCCTCCTAATACCACAATAAATGGCCATATTTATCTTGAAATACTTCAAGAAAAACTTAAAATATTCATGAACATCACAAATACCCACAAGTTTCAGCATGACGGAGCACCCTGTCACAGGGCCAAGCTTGTAAGCAGTTGGTTACTTGAGAATGGAGTTGAAGTCATTGGCCCCTGGCCTGGTAAATCACCGGACCTCAATCCCATTGAAAACTGCTGGAATCATCTTAAAAACGAAGTCCAGAAACTTAGACCATCATCTTTCGATGATCTACAAGAAAAAATTAGACAGGTATGGACTCAATTAATGACTCCTGAATATTTGAGAAAACTCATTCACTCTATGCCTACCCTGCTAGCTAATTGTTTGAAAGCTCAAGGACACCATACCAAGTATTAAATTCAAGTATTAAACTCATAAAACATTTATTAGTATTTCAAAGTTATTATATTCGGAAATTTTCATGGTTACTATTATAATTTGATAAAATAACTGAATAATTTAATAAAAATTGTGTTTTTTATACAATGTTCCAAACTTTTGATCGCGACTGTATATATATATATATATATATATATATATATATATATATATATATATATATATATATATATATATATATATATATATATATATATATATATATATATATATACAGCCCTCGGAGTTAGGAAAAACGAGGTCGGCAATTAACTGCTAACCTTAAACTAATAGAGGTCGGCAAAAGGTCTGCAAAAATTTTTTGATATAAAGATCATACTATAAAACATAAAAAAGAGGTCAGCTTGTTTTTGCTCAATGTATATGTATGTATATATAAAAAACTCCAATTAAGACATTTTACCTGGGTAGTAAACTCTTCTTCCATTAGATTTATAAACATGTATTGTAATGAACTCTTTATTATCTGCAAAATCATCCTAAAGTTAAATTTCAAACATTTTTTATTGCACGGTAAAAATTTTAAAAAAATTTAATAAGTAATGTAGTAACTGAGAGCAGTTACAATATTAGTTTGTGTTCAAGGTTTAAAAATGGTCTTAACTTTTTTTTTAGGTGTGGCTCATAGATACAACTTACATCTTTTAATACAATTAACAATATCTATTTGATAACATAATGTTGTATTTATTAGTGTGTTAAAGCAGCATCAAAATCACAATTGGAATATCTTAAATCAAAAAGAACTATAACATCATGGCATAACACCATTAGTTTTGCATAGACTTAACTTACTTTTATTTAAAAGTATTCAAAAGAAATTTTAAAACTTTGAGTTAGGAATTAGTTAAATTAAATTTGTTTGCAATAAGTGTTTTAAAAAACTTTATTGTGTTAAATATTTAACTAAGGTACTCAAATTAATGAACTAGTATTTATGTATTGTATTTTTCTTACCATAATTAGACTTTATTATCTATATGCATTTAGTATTCTATTTTATGTTAAATTGTTTATATTTTGTTAAATAAAATTTGTGCAATTATTATTGCTATTTATTGCTTTTCTTATATACTTAGATGAGTTAATAAGTTTATGAAAACCCTGGGAATTTTATAAAATAAAAAACCTGGAAAATCCTGGAAATTTATTTTGATAAAAACTCCAGAAAATCTTGGAAAATTTTATGGTCAACAAATTGACAAAGGTATGTGGGTAAAAAGATAAAGTAACTAAAAATTAATGAATAATTAGGATTCTCTAAAACCTTCTAAAATTAAATATAATATCTCAGTCTTACTCTAAGCAACCTACAAAGCGTAAAAATTCATTTAATTTTACAATTTAAAATGTCAGACAATAGTTCAGAAATCAAAACTTTTTATTCTTATAATTTTCTTTAGCAAAATATTTGTCAGCTTTTCTTTTTCTGCACTTTAATAATAGATTCTTTAACTATTTTGCACCGTTTAACATTGCAAAATAGTTAAAGAATCTATTATTTATATATTAAGAAAATGAAATTCAATTGGAAAAACAGAAAAGTTAAAAAACGTTTTTTAAATATATATTCAACACGGACGAAAATTTTTTTTTTCATAGAATCATTGCTCAACATGAGGACTACTGAAAATACTTAGGCATGCCTTGATAATTTTACTAAGCTCTAAATATTTTTTACACTTAACGTATGCGATCGCATGTCTTGTTTGTCCACATTTAAAGTAATATTTTTAGACTCACTGACCACGCCAATTTGTATCTTTTAAATTTTTAGGCATTTCAATAATTTGTGGCAAAAATCTTATCTACTGAGAAAATAAAACAATTCTAAAAAAATAAAATAAATTTGTAACGAAATATCAAATTTTAATTAAATAACCTAAATTAAAAAAATTTGATAATTTGAAAAAAAAAACTTGAAGAAAAAAATAAAAAAATTCATAAAATTTTTATACAATTTTTGTATTCTTTTTTTAAGGGTGGTTGTTATTTCTAGCTATTGAATTTGAGGAAAAAACAGTATATTTTATTACAATTTAACAACAATCAAAAGTTTTGATATGCAATTTATTCACAATTTTTATTAGTACTAGTAGTTAAAAATTTTTATATCTAAAAATTTAAATTCTAAAAATTTTGTTAAAAAAGTTTAGTAAAATACAAAGCACTAGCCCACAAGCTTTTGGAGCATCACCACAAGCTTTTGGAGCATCGCCAGTAACAATAGTTCATCAGGAAAAAAACTATTGCGTTTAAATGCACAATTTGGAGAATCCCAAGAAAGTCCAGATTATTTCAATGGGGGTAGTAAAAACAAGCTAATATTTTATATTTGAATATAAAATATTTAGTGACTTAATTATTTTACATGAAAAATTTGTCAAAAAATAAAATAAAAATTTTTACAAATAAAAAAGCAATTACTTTTCTCACTTTCCTTTGCATTGATAAATACATAAAAATTTAAAAATTTAATATTATTTTTTCAACAAAATTTTTCTTTTAAAAATTTTCAATATTTTTTAGTTTATTTTGTTATTTTTAGATTTTCTATTTCATATATTATTTGTCTCTTTTCTTCAAGCTGTTTTAATCTCTGTAGTTTCTTATAGTTTTTCTTGCTGCAAATTCTTAAAATGCTTATAATAAAAAAAACGTGGTCAAGTTATCTAAAAAAAATTACCTTAAACGTGGATGAACATTGCACATGCTTCTTGGGAAGGCTTACTTAAAAACGTCTGCCCACCAATAGTCAAGACATACAGGCTTGCCATCAGCAAATACGGATAGAAGCACTATATCTTTTAGAAGCCGCATAACTTGATTAAATACTACTTTACTTATATCTACACAGTGGGAAATAAAGTCTGGAGTTTTTTTTAGCATTCTCTCTGTAATTCCATGACCTTGAGACATTGGGTCAATTGCTGAGAGGCATTTTATTAAAGGGTTATTAAAAGGAAATTTATCAAGTAAACTAATGACTTAAGGTAAACTTTCAGCAAGGATTTAAAAAATGATGATTTAAAGTCAGGATTTCGAATAATTATTCTTGGAAAATATTTTTTAGCATTAGTTTCAAGGTATATGTAATTTGAATAGCAATACATCTTTTTATCTTTCAAGTTTAAAAAATTTAACTTTGTTACTGTTATATTTTTTATCATCTTTGGCTTAAAATAAAACAAGTTAAAATTGTTTTTACCAGTTCAATTTGCTTATCATAAATTCGATGGACTAACAGTTCTTTTTTTCAAAAGTTAAAACAAATGATTTAAAAATAGGAAGAATTTCACTGTACAACTTAATACAAAGTTATGTTTTATTTCGTCTAAAAAATAAACTTTTAACAATTTTCTTTCTGCACCTTGTTTTGTTTTATCTGCTGCATTTTACATTTGGTTTTTTCTATTAGTTTTTACTTTATCATTTGATAGCCTCTTTAAAGTTTTGTCACTTTCATCTTTATACAGAGAGATGTCCGGTTTTGATAACCAGGAAGAATAAATTAAGGTGAAAGCAGGCATCATCTCAAGCATAGGAAGAGTGCAATTTTAAACAGACAACCACCAATGAGAAATTCTTTGCCTTGGAGCCTTGTATGAGACCTGTAATTTAACAAAATATTTCCAAAAATGTATGAAGATCTGGGCTAAATTTAAAATCAATGTAAATATCACCTAGTAAATTTTCAACTTATTGCATCTTTGTTAAATAAATAAGAGTTTTAAAAAGTATTTATCGTATGAAGCGATATTGACAAATAGTGTTTTAATAAAACTTTATTAGCTTTGTCACAAAAATATGCTGTAAGTTTACTAAAAACCTCCTCTTTTTTTTGCCAAGAAGTACTCATCTATCTAGCTTTTTTCCTTTTTTTTTTTAAATAGGCTGAATAATGCTCTTCATTATAGTCTTTCTTGAAGCCAATTCCAGCAAATCTTTCTTTTCTTGAAGCCAATTCCAGCAAATCTCTTTTAAATTATTTTTGTCAGAAATGTCAGAAAAACTCTTAACTTGCATTTTATAATTTTTTCCTGCTTGATAGTAATAATTGACAACAAAAACTTTTGTAAACATTTTAAAACAGAAATTGTAACAAAACGTTAAACGTTATAGAAATTCTTTTATAAATATAGAAATTTTTTTATATTTATAAAAGAATTTCTAGTATTCGAAAAAATATTTGCTTACATGCAAATATTGTATATTTAAAATTTTCATTTTTTAAAATTTCTAGAAATTTAAAATTTCTGGAATTCCGAGAAGTCCCTGAAAAAACTTATCTCTGCATATACTTACATTACAATATATATGCTTTTGAAGTTTTTTTTGTTAATATTTTTTAAAATTTCTCTGACAAAATATTAGAAAATAAATATAGCTATAAATTAAAATATATAGAAACGATGTTTTAAAAATTTGAGATTCGAATGTCGATGTTTTAAAAACCTGACAAAAAAAATGTATGACTCTAATGAATTACAAAATGGTTTTGCTAAGTAGTTAAGTTGAACAAATGCTTTTACATGCTGCAGCAAAGAACAATCTAAATAAAGTCAAAGAAAAATAATATCAAAGAACAATCCAATCAAAGTAAAGAAAAATAATATCAAAGAACAATCTAATCAAATCAAAGTCAATTTCAGTCCCAGGAGACTACTAAGAAGTTTTTTATCCAAAATGTCGGAGTTAAAATTTGTGAAAACAATGTTTTTTTACCATTTTAAAAAACATTTGAGAAAGAAATTCCTATTTTTTGCTTACAAGCACACTAGTCGTATCTCCTGCAGTTACCCTATATGTACATTTTTCTAAGAGGAAGAACTTGTTTATAAAAAAACTGATTGAGGTTGCATTTGGCTAGTTAAAATCAAACTTTTATTTATAACATAAATAAGAGATCATATTTCTAAAATAAAAAAATTGTCTAATTTTATCTTGAGTCTGCTATGATTAATTTTATAACAGTAATACATTTTACATTTAAACAAAACCTCAAAAAAAATCTTTTACTCTGTTAGTTATATGACGAGTCAAGAGAATCCAGATAATAGCATCATCACTGTCAGAATCAACTTCAAGTCGATATTGTGGATTATCACCTAAAGCAAATGTTAAGTACACATAGAACAAAAGTAATAACTGTTAGCAAAAAAATAATAATTGTGAATACATATATATATATATATATATATATATATATATATATATATATATATATATATATATATATATATATATATATATATATATATATATATATATATATATATATATATATATCAATATCCACCTAATATAATTTATTACAGAAGAAATGATTGAGTTTGCTATGACAATATCCACCCAAAATAATTCATTACAAAAAAAAATGATTGTTTGTTATGACAAAATTCACCTAATCTAATTTATTACAGAAAAAATGTGTTTGTTATGATTGTGTTTGTTATGATTCAGGTTTTCTATATGACACTACTTACAAAAAACTTTACAAAAAGCTTTTTATATAGAAAAAAGGTGGGTCTACCTGTATATTTGAACAAAACGCACAGATGTTTGAAACTGTCTATATATTGTACATTAAAAAAAAAAATGTTATTATTGACAGGTAATACAAGATCCTGGATCATAATTGGTCAGCATTATCAGCAGCTATTTGTGACCACTTCATATTAAAGAAATCTAATGCGGCAGTGGTGTAGTGGTAAGAGCGCTCGCTTTGTAAGCGAGAGGTTCGGAGTTCGACTCCCACCACGTCCCTGGAAGTACCGCGCTCAACTTAGTTTCTCCGCGAAGCGGCCTTGCTTGTTAAGGTTCGTGTTTCGGAGTTAAAGAGTTGAGAGAGGGTTGTACCACGAAATACAACAACAAATAAAAAACACAAAAAAATGAGTAGCCTCCTCGACTGTAGTGGCCCCCTCGGGCCTTGGGGAGGTGAATAATGTAAAAAAAAAAAAAAAAAAAAATCTGAAAATATCTAAAAAAAACCTCTTTATATAACTTTTGGCACATTTACTGGATTCATCTCTTTTGGTACCAGTAGTATCTTTTGTGCTTGTTTTTCTAATTTTTGGGTGTATTGATATACTTATGTATACTGGGTATACTGATATACTGATGTATAGTTGATCTGGAGCAACAACTGGTTAAGAAGTGGTACAAACAACTTATCTTTGCTATTTTCCTTATCATAAAGTTTGTACAAACGTGTTTTTTAAATGATTTCAAATGGTTATATGAAAATAATAACTTTCATATAATCATTTTAAAACTCACTGCATTTCATATATAGTTCTTCAAACAAAATTAAAAAAAAACAATTTTTTTTTAATTTTTCTTTATTATATTTTTATGATTTTATTTTAAGTTGTATAACATGAAAAGTTTTAAAAAATGATTCAAGAAAAAAAATCTTTATTTTCCATGAATCATTTTATATCCAAATATATTTTAGTAAAACTTTATTTTCTTATTAAAAAGTATTAGGGCTTTAATGGTTTCATTAGTACTTTAATGTTGATGGGTAATTTAAAGAATGCTTAACTAAAAAAAGCAACAAATGATAATAAATAAAATAACAACTAATTGTGATAATGTTGTTTAGATATTTAGCAAGTTAAGTTGTCTTTAATATTTTTTAATGCAATAAAACTATGTACCTTTTTCAAATCACTTTAGTATGTATGTTTGATAACGCAAACCTTGCAATTTTCACACTGATACCATTCACTATTTTGACATGAAGAAGCTTTTCCCAAAACTTTGCAGCATTTAATATACTTGACTTAGTTTGCTTCTGTTGTTGTTGGAGTCAGTGTTGCTGCCTAACTTATTTCCTGATCATCATCTAAGTTAAGCATAAACTGTTTCCTAGCTTACTTTGCTGGTTTTTTGCTGTGAGCATTATTCATACTAATGATTAACTCAAGTATAATGAAATGCTCACCTTAGAATCTTGCAGGTCTACATTTTTTGATTGTGTCGATGTATTGAATGCAAAGCATTTGTTTCAAAGCTACAGCATGTTATTTGGATGTTGTTCAACCACATATTGTATTACCTTTTGAATAGATAGAATTAACTCATAATAAAATTTAATTAAAGGTTGCAGGGAGCTAACTTTGGAGTTATAAAATATGTTGATGCTAGATATTTATGTAGATTCAAAAGGTCGAGGTGGTGTAACTATTGACTATGGTAACTTTTGATTTTAAAACGATGTATGGCCTAAAGCAATTACTAGCAGTATTGATGCAATTTCCAACTGTAGAATTGATTTTTTCATAATTGTCAACTAATATCAATGGTTGTCAGGCACCATGCCTGAAAACCATATTTAGTTAGCTTGATCACAAGAGAAATTTCATAAAAATTACACAAATAACATGAAACCTTTTGATTAATAGCTATTTTGTTGAATTTGCACAAGAAATAATACCTATTTGTTGAAATAAATAGGTATAATTTCTTGTGCGCAAGTGGCTGTATGGGATAAAATTTGCTCTGATGGTCAACTCTGATGGTTGACTTATGACTACAATAGTTGATGTAATTTATGGAGTTATAGCTCTTTTATATTTGGCCACAGAAAGCACAACTTGCTCTTTAACGTATGTTTTTTTTTTTTTTCTATTAAGTTTTTTGAGGCTTATTATGTGATGAATAGATTTGATAATAATCAATAAAAAAATTTAAAAAAAAAATTCACAAGATTATAGGCCAGTTTATAAATTAATAAAAGCAATTTACCAAATTAAACAATTCTTGAATGTTAAAAAAAATTTATGCAAGGATATGTTTTAACTAATAACAAACTTAACTTCCAATAGTTTTATTTTAACTTTTCCAAAAAAAAAATAAAATAATGTGGTCAAATTTAGCATTTTATCAAATAAAAATTCAGTATTTTTTAAAATTTCATACCATTGAGAAAAAGATATACCATTAAATTTTATGTTTTATAGAAAAAGATTCTTTGCAACAAGATCAATAAAAATTAGTAAAAAGTTTATCAACTAATGAGAAATTGTGCTGAAATGTTAGAGTTCTCAAAACCAAATGATTTGAGGTTTGACGCCAGCTCTGGCCAAATAAACATAATTGGTAAAGAAGGGGGCATAAACTTCCTGTCAAATACTCATCCATGGTACTTTTTGATAAAATTGTTTTATTTGAGCACTTTAATAACTAATAAAAAAATTAAATCTTTAATTCCTAATATAAGCTTATTTATACTCCAAGCAGACCTGCAACAAGACCTGCAACAAGAAGCAAGCAGACCTGCAACAAGAAATTCAACTGATTTCTGGTTAATTGGTCAACATCAATTAATGCGGCCAAACTGTCTGATTGTAGGCAAATTATGAACATGAATTGTTTCTAAGGAATTATTTCAATGGATTTATAGATACACATACAAGTTTTTATAAATTCTTAAGAACTGTTTCCTAATAAAACCTATGTTGTAAGTATCTTAAAAATTTACTTATAGATACACATAAACATTTAGATTTTAAAATTCTTAAAAACTGTTTCCTTATAAAACCTATGCTGCAAGTAACTTAAAAATTGCTTCATTATAAAAAAAAATTTAAACCTATATTGTAAGCATCTTTAATTGGACCTTCAACTGCATTCCAGCCTCTTCAACAAAAATAATATTATATTTATATTAAAAGAATAATAAATAACAAAACTTAATAAAAATTGTAAAATACTTAAAATTAATACTATTTAATAAAATTTTGAAAATTATATTTTTAGAATTAATCTTACGCATGGAGGGTATATTTGTAGGTAAAAAGTTTTGGATTCCAGTTCATGTAAATTACATCATAAAACCTTAAAACAGATTCCCAATTTATCCAAAACACACCTATTAAAAAAAAAAAGATGTATGAAATTGTAAACTAAAGTTATGAGATAAAAGACAAAACATTTATCGCTCATTATTCTAAATATTATTAAAGTTATGAAATAAGTGAAAAAACATTTACCATTATCATTTTGAGCTGCTTTTTCTCTATTGTATCCTAAAGCATTCTCAAGTGATAGTGTCCAATTCACTGTATCACTGTCAGAATAATTTCCCTATAAATCAAAAGAGCAGGTATTAAACCTTTATCAATAAAAAAAACAACTAAAAATACAAATAATAATAATTTAAATCTAAATAATAAGCAATTTCTAAAATATACATAAAATAATTTTATAAATAGATTAATTTAAAAAAATAAAGGTTAAATAATAATTAAGATTAAATAAAACATGGTTAAATAATAAAAAAGGTTAAATAATAATTAAATTAAAAAAACTAAATGATACTTTAAAATTTAACAAAAAAAATCTTTTTTTTTTCTTTACAACTTAGTTGAAAATACTTTCAAATATGATCTTATACATTTCAAATATGATCTAAATACATTACTTTCCATCTCAAATGGCTCCAAGGATTCTTCAGCAAACATAATCTTTTACCCTAAAAAAAATATTTTTCTTTTAAATTCAACACATCATCTTCTTCTCCTTCATCATCATCATCATCATCATCATCATCATCATCATCATCATCATCATCATCATCATCATCATCATCATCATCATCATCATCATCATCATCATCATCATCATCATCATCATCATCATCATCATAATCATCATAATCATCATTATCATCATGGTGATGATAATACCTTATACCTTAATCACATGTTGGGTCCTAAATATTGAAAAAAGAACTTCCTCTAAAAATATATCCACCTGGATCTCAAAAGAACCAAAATTTTAAGAGATTTTTAAAATTCACAATTTTTTTATTACTAACATCTGACCTTTCCTTTTTTTTACTAACATACATTTTATCTTTTTACTAACATGGCTCTTTTATTTACTAATATATATTCATTGTGTAACCAAGGGTCATGCTAGGTGACCATTTTTAAAAACTAAATCAATGATTGTTTAGTTGATTTTTGTTGATTGATTCTATTTTTTAGTACCTAGTACTACAAAGTTATAACCCTAATATACACTATCATTAAAATTCTCTTTAAATTCACAAAAGTCACTAATGTACTCTCTACTGTTATATTTAAAAAAATCTTTTTTATTTATTTCATTCCAAAATCAAAAGTCTCTAAAACATCACTCAATGTATGTACATTCCAAGAAAAAACTAGTTGATGTAAATAAACTCACAGTGTATCCCTAAACAATTCATACAATTTATGTACAAGTTACTGGCTATTAAAAAATAATAAAATATTGGAAAAATATAAATACAAAAAATATATTTATATTGTAAAATTTTTTTGTGTTTTAAAGGTTTTTAAAAGCTAAATTCATTAACATTAACAATTATTGCCGAAAATTGTGAATAACTACAGTTAATTTGATATTTAATATCAAAATTGTAATTTATTATGAAAACTGTATTTAAATAAAAAAGCAAATAGAAACAGAGAATTTGATACTTATATTGAAACTATGCATTAATAAGTTTCCAAATATTATTTTGGATTTGGATTATGTTTATAGCATTTTGATCATTTTCCTAAAAATATAAAGAATTTAAAACAGCAAAATTACTTGAACTTTTTTTAAATTTAAAACAGCATATGCATGGGTTGGAACTAAACCTGCTCGATCTGCTTCTGCATCACTCATCACTCCAGTTGCTGCTGTTATTAAAACATCTCCTTTGATAATAAAAATGAGCAAATATATATAAAAAAATATATATATATATATATATATATATATATATATATATATATATATATATATATATATATATACATTTATATATAAATATATATGAATAAAGATCTTTATTCATATATATATATATATATATATATATATATATATATATATATATATATATATATATATATATATATATATATATATATATATATATATATATATATATATATATATATATAAATATATATATATATATACATACGTAAGTGTATATATATGAATAAAGAAAAAGATCTTTTTATTATCGTGTATAATATTGTATACTTAAAAGTGTGCTCAATAGATAAACTAGAGCTATATAGTGTATATGTTACTGTTACCCGCAGTACCAGGAATTAGCTAAATGCTAAATTTTACTGCATCCAGGTACTGTCTTGTACCTGTACAAGCTATTTCAGCATGAAGTCAGATTGCTTACCTAAACACGCGATATAAGTTACATGTATGTGTGTGTGTGTGTGTATGTATATATATATATATATATATATATATATATATATATATATATATATATATATATATATATATATATATATATATATATATATATATATATACAATATATATATACAATATATATATATATATATATATATATATATATATATATTTATATATATATATATATATATATATATATATATATATATATATATATATATATATATATATATATATATATATATATGTATGTATATGTATGTGTATATTTTTATACATACAAAAATATAAGCACAATTAGATCAGTAATCTGACATCAAATTGATCAAGTGAGAGTTAAATATATTACCTGAGATTTTTATCGAAAACCTTAAACTTCAAAAAAGGTATTAAAAACAAAGTCTAACAAATAGAAAGTTTAATCTAGAAGAAAAATTTTTTGGAATTATTTTTAAGACGGAATAATGCATAGTTTTTTTGAAATAAGCAACATTGTTGGGTAAGGTAATGTGGGTCTATATGTCAATGTGTTTTGTGTCATAATGAGCCTAATGCTTATACAACAGTAAATTCCTTTAAAATTAAAATTAGTATAAATTAGAACTTTGTATCTGGATTCATTTTTCTGGAGTTATGTTGACATAAATTAATTTATGATCATTGAAGATGTAACAATATCATATTTTCAATTGAAACTAGTAGATAACGCAGCGTAGCAGTTTTGAAGCATTGCATATTGAATTTTAATTATATAAACATGTTGTTCTTGTAGGATAATGAATCTCTAATATATAACACAAAAAGTTTTAGACAATTTTCAATTAGGCTTTTGCTTTAAATTCTTCTTTAAACATAATTTCATCTTTGAAATATTATTCAATATATGATATTCAAATTTTGAACATCATTCAAAATTTGAATATAATATATTCAATTTGGAGACTTATAATGTGATTTATTCTATATATTTAGAAAATTCATCTAAAAAAAAAAAAAACTATAGAAATTGAACCACAAGAAAGCTCTGCATTCCTTGAAAAATAGCTAACAGAGATAAAAAATATTCATTTTGCATTTCTTATTTAACACTTCAAACCTGTAAAGTTCTTTTGCATTTAAAACATCTATTGAAGTACTCACAATGAACCACAGTGACCGCCAGGTTTGAAGTATCCCCAAATCAGATTTTTGTTATATATATACTTAGTTGTATATATGAAAATAAATATTTAGTTAGTAAAAACCTCTAGGGGAATGGAAAAATGTATGAAAATCAAAAAATAAAAAGTATAGTTTTTAGTTAAAAACATCCACCATTTTCAACAAAATAGCTATAATTTGCTAACCAAACACCGGCGTTTTTTGATTTTAACTCTGTGTTTTTTGATTTTAACTCAGTGTTTTTTGATTTTAAGTCGTTGTGCACTCTGGTGCACAACGACTTGAGTTTTACAAAATGGTGGTCAATAATTTATGTGCTGTTTGTTTTAAAACCTTTAGTAAAAAGTCAGCTAAGCTTCATAAAATAACTAAAGTTATTGAACAAAAAATAAAAACTTTTATTTGGAATAGCTATGATCAAAATTTAGCAAACCATCCTGAAGTTATTTGTAGCAATTGTTACAAAAATCTTTATTGTTTAAAAAAAAATGATACAAAATACCTTGATAAGTGGCTAAAGCAAATTTCTCAGGTTGGTTGACAAAATTAATAAAAAATTATATTAAAGCCTTAGTGTTTAAAAGTTTTATTTTTATCAATTTTGTAAAAAGAGTTGTCTCAATGATTCATTGAGTCTCAGCTCTTTATTTTTGTTGATTCATTGAATGATTCAATGAACTTTTATAAATTTAAAAAATTTTAAACAACTTGTTATATATAACAAGCTGTTTAAAATTCTTATATATAGGAACTAATATGTCATCGATGTGTTTATTAATAATGTGTTATATTTTTTATATTACTAATTTATATAGTTTTAGATTTATTTGTTTAGATAAACAGCCAAGGTATCAGAAGAACTTCAGATGTTTTAGAAATATTATAAGATATTAACATCATTACTTAGATAAAAATGAAAGGGTGTGCCTAAAATATTGTGGAGTTGCTAAATCAGGCATTATTCATCTTTGTAGTGATGTTCAAAGCTGTAAAAAATTTAATGCAGTTAAGTTTAATACAGTTAAAATATATAAAAGTAAAAATTTAATGCAGTTAAAGCATATGCATTGGAATCAGCAAGTGCAGAACGTGTTCAAGTATTTTAAAAACAAAAACGGAAAAGGAAAATATTTCTAGAGGTGAAAAATTCACAATTGCTACTCACTCTAAATTGACTATTGTAGATGGAAATATGGACAACAAATGTGATCGTGCTAATCTTAGTCAAGTGTCATTTGGAACAATCATTGAGCTTATAAAATGTTTAGAACTATCTCAGTTTAAAACCAAAAAAATGTGTTCAATATTTAGAAAAAGTATTGGCTTGATAAGTAGCATAGAAGGACATATTATTAAAAAATTAGAAGCTTTAAAAGCAGAAAGCTTTTCATGTAAAGAAGAATTTTTTGAAACTGGAGATATAGTAAATAAACCAATTGTTTATACAAAGGATATTGATGAATTCATACATAATATAATCACTGAAAGGAATATTTTTCTACAATTGTAAGAGTTGCTGTGGATTCTGATCAAGGTTTTTTAAACTCTGAATGTTTTTAATCTGCATGATAAAACTAGCAACCAACCTGACCTTGATGATGCTGGAGTTAAGTGTTGTTTTATTGTTACTATTGTAGAAGGAGTGTCTAAACATAATGGAAATCTTAGAAAATTAGTTGATACTCTTAATCTTCAAAATATTAAGTATTCTGTTGCATTTGATTTAAAGTGTGCTAACTCAATGTTTGGCATTACAAGCCATGCTGGAAAATATAGCTGTTTGTGGTGTGAAGGAGAGTGTCTTTTGGATTGTGGAGAAAAAAAAACTCTTTGTTCCCTTAATTATCATTACAGTAAATACACAGAAGCTGGAAAACCAATATCAAAGATGGCTGATTATAAAAATATTATTAATCCAAGAGTATTATATCTTGAAGAGGATCCAGACACAATTATAGAAAATTTAGTTCCATTACCTGAGTTGCATACATTAATCAGAATAGTTACAACTTTTGGAAAAAAATTATCAAAACTATGGCCTGGCTTTGAAAAGTGGTTAAACTCAAATTACATATTTTTCAGAGGTTACCATGGCATTGGATTTGATGGCAACAATGCCAACAGACTTTTAAATAAGTTAGGTGTTTTTGCTTGTGATATTGCTGATCAAGGAAAGCTTGAATTATTGCCAGTAATTGAATGTTTAAGAAAGTTTCAAGCAATGAAGCAAGCTACCTTTGGAGAAAAAATTATTGGTGATATTGAATCTGTTGTTTTCGAATTTAAGATATCTTATGCTAATTTAATCCAATATATTAATACTTACTTTAATAATATTTCTTTGAATATACCGTGGAAAGTTCATATTGCAGTTAACCATATTGTACCATTTCTAAAAAGTACCAATACTGATAATGGACTTGGAATTTACTCTGAACAAGCAGGTGAATCTGTTCATCATGATTTTAAAAAGACATGGATTAAGAGACAACAAAGCCACCCAGACTCTGCTAAATGATTGAAGTCAAGTGTTGTGAAATTTTCAACTTTTAACAAATAGTTAACAAGTTTACTATTCAATTTAATATAATGTTGACCTACAATTATGTTAAAATTTTTGTTTCTAAAGTATTTTAATAGCATGAAAGATTTTAATCAAATATAAAATATAATGCTATTTGTGTATTTTAAAGCTTAGTCTAGATATTTTTTACCATAAATGTGTTAATTGCATTTTGTTGTTGTTGCCTTTATACCTACATTTCTTTCTTATGTAATCTGTTATAGAATATGTCCGAACAATTTTCAATGCATTTATAATATGGGAGTACACAAGATTACAGTAAAATTAGATTTCTTCATAAAATTATGTGAAATATATAAACTTCGATAAAGTTAACCATGTACCGCCCCTTTAATTTTTATCTAAAGTTTAGATGTGTAAAAATTTTATTCTAGTTATTCCTATGGAGGTTCTTAACACCTTTACCTAAATTATATACTATGTTACTTCTTAATAAGAAAAAAAAATTGGATGTGGGAGACATCAAACTTGACAGTTATTGTGGTTCACTGTGTACTATTATGTTTAAACTTTTGATCAAATAAATAAAATATAATACATACTCAATGACTTCAATCATATTTTATTATAATTTGGTATATTTCATTGAAAAAATATAAAAATGAAACTTAGAACCACATTACCCGACTAAATGAGGTAATGTGGGAGTAGAATAAAACTCAAATTGGTGCTCCTTAGACAACAAATAGATTTTAAACAAAAAAAATTTTTGAAGAAAAAAAACTGTTTTACTATAAATATTTC